GGGGGCCCGCGCCCCCTTTTTTCGGGGGGGCCCTTTTGGGGTTCATTGTCAGCTGGGTGTTTTTTTAGAGGGGTGTTTTTATGGGGTGGTGCAGCTGGCAGCACCCCCTGCCCACGCTTTGGGGTCGCAGCCCCACATCGGGCCTGGCGGGCCCAGCTGGGCGCCGTGGGGTCGAGCAGGAGCGGGCCTCACTGCCAGGCCTTACGGGGCCTGGGGGCGCAGTGTGGTCCTCAAGGAGGGCCCCCCCGAGCCCTGCGCCCCTCATAGGTGGGGGAGTGGGAAGGAGCCCCCCAGGCTGGGCATCACTGCGGGCCGTGCCATGGCGGGGAGAGGCTGCGGGGCTGGCATGGCACGGGAACGGCACAGCGCGGTGTGGGCACGGCATGGAGGTGGGTATGGCACGGCGTGGACGTAGTATGGCATAATATGGCACAGTGTGGACGTAGTATGGCACAGCATGGACATGGTATGGCATGATATGGCACAATATGGATGTGGTATGGCGTGATATGGCACAATATGGATGTGGTATGGCGTGATATGGCACGATATGGACATGGTCCGGCACGGCTGGGCTGCACGGTTGACCCCGCTGTCGGCGCTCCAGGCTGCACTTGGCACAGCTCACACCTCAAGCCGCCTTTTTTCTTCCCTCTCTTCCTATTCTGATTGTTTTCTTTTCTTCTGACCTTTTTTAAAAAAAAAATACAATTTTTTAATATTTTGTTGTTATTTTCTTTCTCCTTTCTTTTCCGTTCTTTTTCTTGTTCTGCATTCTCTTCTCTTCATTTTCCTTTCCCTCTTATTCTCATCCCTCCCTTTATTTTATCTTCTCCTTTTTTCTTTTTTTTCTCTCTTCTCCCTCTTTTTTCTATTTTCTTTTTTCTCTTTTCCCTTTTTTCTTTATTTTCTCATTTTTCCCTCTTTATTTTCTTTTCCTTCTTTTCCCTCCTTTTTTTTTTTTTCAACTTTCTCTTTTATCATTTCCCTTTTTTTTAGTTTTCTTTCCCCTTTATTTTCTTTTCCCTCCCTTTTGTCTTTCCTTTTTTTCTTCTCTCTTTTTCTCTTCCTTTCCTTAATTATCTTCTCTCTTTTCTACATCTTCTCTTTTTTTCTTTTCTTCTCCCCCCCCTTTTTTTTTTTTTCTTCTCTTTTCCTTTTCTCTTTTTTTATTTTTTTTTTCACATCTTCTTTTCCCTTTTACTTTTTTTTCTCATTTTCTTTTCCCCTCCTTTTCTTTTTTCCTCTCTTTATCCTCCCCTCTCTTCTCCCCTCTCTTCTCCCCTCTCTTCTCCCCTCTCTTCTCACACCTTCACTTTTCCCTCTTCTTTATCCTTCACTCTCTTCTCTCTTTCCACGTCTCACCCTCTCTTTTCGTACCCTTCTCTCCTTCTCCCACTGCCCCATGCCATCCCCACTCCCTGTTCTGACCCCGCTTTGCGGTGTGGCAGCGCTCAGCAATGTGGGCAGCACATGGCCGGCAGCGTCCGCTCCCCAAACTGTTGCCATTCCCATCGCATGGGAGGAGGGGGCAAATTTCCAACCGCTCGCTTCAGGCGGGCCGCAGCTCCCCTTTTTCCTATCAGATCCTCTGCCTGAACCCGGCCCAGTCGGGGTCTGCGCCCTCCAGACCCCTTTCCTGCAGCGCAGCCCCGCCAATCCCACCCCACTCGCGTGGCGGGCGCCCGGGGAGCTGCGGATGGTGATGTGGATACATTGGAACGTGCGCGGGACCCGCCCTGCCCTTGGCTTCGTGCATCTTCCCCGGCCGCCGCCGCCATCCTCCCGTGTCCCCGCATCCCTCCGGCCCACGGTCGCCGCTCTCAGCCCTGCTTGGGCAGCTCCGTCCCATCCTCAGCCCCACGGCACCAAAATAACCCTGGCATAGGCGGCGGCCGTGACGCGCTGCTGGCCGGGGCCGTGGCAGGAGGGTGACATTGTGCCCCGCTCAGCTGTCTGTCCCTGCTTAGGGACTTCCTCCCCTTCCCCCTGCTCACCTCTGTCCCCTCTCAGGGACCGGGCAGGAAATCAAGACGGAGCTGCCCAGATTAGCAGGGAAGCGGCAGCGGCATCACAGCCAAGGGCTGTGTGCGAGGGGGGGTCCGGCTGTTGGCACCCTGAAGTAGCCCCGGTGCTGCACACCCATCGCGTCCCCATCATCCCACCGCAGGGGGGTGATTTTCCCAAATTCTCAGGAGGCTTGCAGGTTGGACGTGCGGCAGCAGCGTTTTCTCATCTCGCTGTGCAATCCCAGAGCCCGGTTGCGTCCCTTCATTGGGATCCTGACCCCCAGCACCGTGCAGCGTGGGGCAGGAGCTGATGGGGAGCAGCGGGGTGCAACGTGGAGAGCTCACCCTGCTGCCCTCTCCCCTCAGCTGTGCCCCAGTGCCACGTTTTGCACTGATGTGTCCCTGCAGGGCTGTGATTTCTGAGGCCGTGCACCTGGCTCTGATTTGGGGACATCAGTACTGTGGGAACAGCGGTGGTCCCCACGCCAGGTGCCCCCCTCGTGACCGGGGACACATTGCTCCACCATGGTGCAGTGCCACGATAAGCAGCGTGGCCACGTGGCCTTTCCTTGTGGCTTTGTGTGCCCGTGAGGCCGTCCCCACGGCGCAGTGGGGCCGTGAACCACCGCCTGCTTGGGCACGTGGCTGCCCTGAGCACCTGGAGGTGCCGTGGAAACCAATTTGGAGCAGGGGTGACTCCGTTCCTGGGATTTTGGGGATGGGAACGCGGTGCAGCCGGCGCCTCGCCCCTCCACCAGTAGCTGCGGCAAACTGGTTTACTGGTTTCCAGCCGGGAGCTCAGATCAGCTGCCAAAGCATCAGAGCCGCTCGCCGGGAATGGCGGGGGGGGGTTGGGGGGGGGGGGGGGTGAGGGAAGGTTGCAACACACTTTCAATTCTCCCATCTGCTGAGCATTGTTTGGGAAAAACAATGGGGCCGTTCTTTAAGTGCAACCTTGGGGAGCGCCTGGCTTTCCCCGCGCTGTGCCCGCCGTGCCGGGACCTCGCTGCTTCTGCCCGCCCTAATTTTAAATAGATAAAAATAGATCCTGATTTTTTTTTTTCCTTATATGCGATTTATGGACAGGAGCGCTCGTTAGGGCAGGATGAGGCCCTCAGCTCTGCGGCATCACCTTGAACTTGGGCTGCGCACCATAAATTTGCCGCCGTGCTGCCCGGCCGTAATTCTCCCTCCTTTCTCCTCCTCCAGGAGCCCAAAGTGTGCAGAGCCACGAGGAACAAAGCCTGATGTGAGCAGGGAATCGCTCCGTGCGTTGCCTTTTCCCTCCCTGCGCCGGGCTGCCCAGCAAGGATGCTCTCATCCTCCACCTCAGAGCTTTTTCTCCCTGCACCCTGGCCACATTCCCTCGGTTCCCTTTGGTGCAGCCCTGGTGTGATTCAGTGGCAAAGGAGCACCCCTGGGTGCCCAGTGCTGTGAATTAAATGGATGCCCACCCCTCTGTGCCATTTAGCATTGATGCGTGGCTTGTGCACCTGGGCACAAAGTGGAGCACAATATCCCCTGCCTGGATGGTGGTGGTGGCACAGCCCAGGGTGGCACTGAGCACGGTGTGCCCAGCTTGCTCCCTGTGCCTGGTGCCAGGACCCCAGTGCTTGGTGCAGAGCCGTGGGGAAGGTGACGGTATCGGTGATGTGGGTCTCCCTGCATGGGAAGAACAGATGGGCTGTTGGGTCTCGCCATGAATCTGAATGCCTGGGAGACAGAGGGACACGTGTGCCCCATCCCTGCAGCCAGGCCGAGGGCCACAGGCACGACCCTGTGTCTGTGAGCAGCGTGTTGGTGCAGTTTAAATACTGGGGAGCCGTGAGTTTGGGGTTTCTCCCGTGGGGTGCAGCAGGCCCGTCAGAGCCGTGTTGGTGCCTCAGTTTTGCTGGGTAGGGCCAGCAGTGCGTGGCGTCACCAGTGCTGGGTGACATCCCAGAGGGGAACCCGAGACGCCGCGTGCGCACGGCAGTTGGGTGGAGGTGCCCTGCTGGGGTCCGGTTTGCGCGCTTCGAATGAGCACCAGGAAAAAGCTGAGCCCCTTTGGGGGTGGGGAGGGGGACAGAGCGGAGGATGGAGCCACGGGGGTCCCCGCAGGCATCCCTCTGCTGGGTCCCAGCTTGCAGCAGGCACGCGGCCACCTCGCCATCCGTCACGTCGGCCCCGGGCAGGCATCCCCCGCGGCCGCGCCGCGCCGTGCCAGCTTGGCCGGCACCCAGCGCCCTGCACCGCCGCCAAGCCCCTGTGCTTCCCAAGTCCTGGCGAGGAGCTGGGAAAGGATCCCGCTGCCCAGGTGCGGGGAGCACGGGGCGGGCCGTGCCAAGGATTGATTTCTCAGTTAACTCGCCGCTGCTTTCAAAGCGCATTAATCCGCCCGTCACCTGCCAGCAGCCATCCGTAATCGGCGTTTTGGGCAAAATCCCCGGCTCTGAGCTGGGCATTCCCCTCCTGGCTGTGGAGCCGGCACCCAGCCCTCCCGCTGACCCCTCGGCTTTGTGGGGTTTTCTTGTTTTTTTGTAGAAAAAGGGGCTCATGTTTTGTTTTTTAAGACGTTTTCTGCTCTCCTTGCGAAGGGCCCCTCTGTGCCGAGAGAACGCTATTTGAGCGGCCGCCGTCCAAAAAAAACCCCCAACATGTTTCTGATCACCAAAACCCAAGAAATATTTTTACTTTCAAAGGAAAAAAAAAAAGAGAGAGAGAGAGAGAAAAAGAAAGAAAGAAAGGAGAGGGAGAGAAATGTTGATTTTCCACCCAGACGTTTCCTTTCTTCCCCAAACCGAGAGGCGCCGCTCCCTGCGCCGGGGGCTCCTCTTTGGGTACCCCAAACCTCCCCGGCTCTGTCCCTGGGTTGGCGCTGTGTCCCTGCAGTCCCCCGTGCTTTGGGGAAAGTGAGACGGCGAGCGGTGTAAGGCGAGCCGCGAAATCTCCTTTGGTAACCTGTGCGCCAGGACGGGCGGGCGCGCGGCGTGAATACCAATGAGGGGAAAAAGTGCAGAGTAAAGGGTTTTGGATGGAAATGGCATCGCAGGAGGAGGAGAAGCCGGGAGCCAGCGAGGATGCTGGAAGTGTGTGGGTGCGTGTGGGTGTGCACGTGCGCCCTGGCATCGTTGCGACCGTCCCCGTGTCGGCGCTGCGTCCCCGTGGGGTCACCCCAAAGCCGTGTGTGGCTGAAGGGGAACCACTCCTCTTCCTCCCCTGATTTTTCGGATCAAAGTCTCCGGGGGCAGAGAAGCGGGGCCTGTGTGAGCAGAGCTGCTGGCAGCGAGCCACCCCGCCGCCTTCCCGGAGAGTTTGTTAAACAAATTTCTCTTAATTGCACGAGGCAAGGAGCGAGTCGTCGTCGGATGGAAAAAAAGAGGGGGGAAAAAAGGTGGGGA